TTTCTCTGCCATCACACGGCACTGTGCAGGCGGTTTGGAGTCGGGCAAGGTGGGACCCAGGGGGATTCCCACCCTAGCCAGCAGCTGCTGACTGCTGCCCTCCTGTGCCCACAGGCTGATGCGGTCCCTGCGCAGGGCAAGGGACCTCCGTGGCATGGAGGTGCCTGTCCTGGCTGATGGCCTTGCCATGGACTGCTTTGTTCTGGAGTCACACATTGACTGCAGCCTGGGCGAGGGGCCACAGCACAAGTAAGTGCAGAGGGTCAAGGGAAGGGGGCCTGTGTGGGGCTTCCTACCCTGCATGGGCAGGAGGGGTGCCCCAGTGGGGCTGGGTGCTGTTCTGCAGGCTTGGCGTGGAGCTGGTGTTGCAAGCATTATCCCCTGCTCTGCCATGAGCAGGGCTGGGGTAGACTGTGGTGCCTGTCAGTGCTGCAGCGTTAACACTGGTGCTCACGGCTTCGCTTCTCTGGCAGCTGTACCACAGCAACCCGGGCTGTGCTAGTACCTGCACAGCAGCTCAAAAAGACCCTGAAGCGCTGGGGTCCTCTGCATGTGACCTCCAAGGCTGTGCGTCCAGACTGGAAGACACAGGACAGCGGTGCCACCCTCTATGAGCGATGCCTGCGGCTGGCCTTGGAGCAGAAGCCAGGCACTCGGCACCATGTAGTGCCCCGATGATGCCTGAGAAGCTCTGCCTTGCCTGGGGAGGAAGATGTGCTGTGCAGCTGCCATGGAGTGGAGCTGCTTGATTTCTGGTGTGTCAGCCAAAGGATGGCACTGAGCATGGGCCACAGCTGGAGCAAGGGCAGGCAGAGGTGTCTCAAGGAGCTGTGGCTGCCATCCACACATCAGAACATGGGGAAAGGAGTGGGAGGGCTTGGGAAAGGGTAGGCACACCATCTTCCTTCCCTGTTGTGCCCTGGGGCAGGGTGGATGCTCCAGGCATTGGATCCCCCAGGCAGGGGGCACAGCTGGGCCCACACACACATGGATTTCACAGAATGGCAGGGGTTGGAAGGGCCCTCTGGAGATCACACAGTCCAACCCCCCTGCTTGAGCAGGTTGTTTCAGCTGGGGACCCTGAGCAGCGTGGTGTGATCCTGGCCCCCTTCCCTGGAGGGGGAGGTGCAGGTGGGCAGGGCACAGGCAGGGCTGGGGTCTGTGCTCGCTCCCAGCCCTGGAGTGAGGTGGGGGGGTAGCCCTGGGGAGGGGCCAGGCCCTGTGCACAGCAGAAGATAAATAAATGGTGGTACAGGCATGGTGTGTGGTGCCAGGGCTGAGCTTGTGGCCCCCACCCCAGGGGCTGACCCTGCACCCCAGCAGTAAGCACACTGCAGCCAGGGTGGGCAGGATGGTTTATTTTGTTGCTTGCGCTACGTCCAAGGCTGAAGGATGGTGGTAGCAGCAGGGAAGGAGCAAGCTTTGATCTCAGGGGTACCCTGGGGTGGTCTATCGCCAGAGCCCTGCCCTGGCCTCCTGTCCCACCTCAGGTGTGAGGCCAGCACTTCTCCCCTAGGACTGAAGGGTCTCACTCTCAATTACACAAGGGGCTCCCCAATCACCACGCCAGACCAGCCTTGCCCTCCCCCATGCCCCCTCCCAGCCCTAGTGGGGGGCCCCTACCTGCCAGGCACACAGCAGGGGTGTGCAGTTACTGCAATAAATAAGGGAGGGGGGTGTCTCAGCAGGCAAGGGGCAGAGGAAAGCACACAGCAAAGGCGCTACAGGGAGGGGGCCACTTGTCAGCGGCCCATGGCACAGCTATGGCTGTCCAGCTCCTGGGGGCTGCTACCCTCCTTTGGGGAGGTGCCACAGCCTGGAGGGCTGGTGGGGCTCATCCTCTGGCAGGGGTAACCCTGGTCCGTGCTCTCCCTCCGCCGGCCCATGGCCTGGTCGATCATCTCCAGGCGGAGTGCAGGCAGCAGGCCCAGGTTTCGGGGGTCAGCCCTCCCCAGGGGGCTGTCTATAGAAACACGCCGGGGCCCACCCTGCTCCCACACAGTCTGGTAGAGGGAGTTGCCCTCCTGGCTGTCAGCTGCCCACCCTGGCTCCTTGGCTTTGGCTCCACGGCACCCTGGCTCCTCCTGGGGCAGGTGAATGGTGGGGATGTCCCCGGGAAGGCCTCGGCGGCTCTGGGGTGAAGGGCTGCGGCTCATACCCCTGTCCCGGCTCGATGGCCGCAGGATGAGGCCCTGGAACTTGGCCAGGCTGGGGCTTCGGCTCCGGTGCCGTTTCATCTTGCCTGGACTGGGGCTACGGGATTTGGGGGCCAGCAGGACAAGTGTGCTGTCATCCTCCTCTTCCGAGCTGCTGCCTGAGCTGTCCGTGGGGCTGCTGCCCTCTTCTGATCTGGGCAAGGAGATCTGTGCCCCTGAATCAGCACTGCTGGCTGATCCTCACAGGGGGCTGTGGGGCACCACAGCAGCTGCCCTCCCCCAGCAAAGCACCCCTACACACACCCCTTTGCCTCCCCTCAGCCCCTTACCCCCTGCCTCTTAGCCATGCTGACCTGGAAGGGCTCAGTCACACCAGCGATGCTGCTGGAGGTGTTGCTGTAGTATCCAAGGATGTACTCGCCCTTCCCCTTGGGCAGCGCCTCCTCTGAGAACATCACCTGCAGCCCAGAGGCAGCTGATGGTCACCAGGGCTGGGCACCAGGGCTGGGCACCCCCTCCCACCCCCAGCCCCAGCCGAGATCAGAAGTCCCCAACAGCAGCACAGTGCACCCACCCAAGGCTCAGCACAAAGCAATAAGGAGGTGCCCTCCTACCCCACCAGGGGCACATGTGCCCAGCAAGACAGCAGGGCTGTCCTCAGCTCACCTGTGCACACAGCGGCTTCTCTGGGCAGCGCTCTCCATCATCACCCCTGGCCCAGACATAAGACACGTAGTCTTTAGGATGCCGAAAGCCCACCTGTGTGCGTATGTGGGAAAACACAGGTGAGTGCAGGGAACATCAGCTCTGCTTTAGCTCTCCTCTCACTTGGCCCCCTCTCCTTGCACAGGGGCACCAGGCACTGCCTTGCACCCACCCAGCAGAGGAAGAACGAACTGCTGGCTCTGAGCCTCCTGAAGTGAGGCCAGATCCTGCTGCTATCCCCAGGGGAAGACAGAGCACAGCTCCATGCCATGCACCGCTACTGGGGGATAGAGCTCAGAAGGGACCCTGCCATGCTGTGCAGTGCTCCCCACTCCCTCCAACCCCAGCAGCCCCCAAGCCCCTACCCGGTAGAGTCCTATCCAGTCCCAGGAGCTCCGGTGGAAGGCAGCAGCCATCTTGTACCTGACAACTGCTTGCTCAGGCCTGCTCCATTCATCAGCCACATAAATCTCAACCGGGGGCTTGTCTGCCTTGGAAGCAAACTGTCAGAGACACATACATGGTGACCAAGGGCATGCCAAAGAGATCTGCCCCTGCTGCCCAGGGCTGGGCCCTCATGCATACACCAAGAGCAGCCCCCTGCCACAGTGGCAAGACAGCTTGAGCCAAACAAAAATAAAATAAGCCCCACACACCCCATCATAGACTGCACATGCCAGCTGGGCCGCTCACCCCTGTAGCTCCTGCCTGTGGGCCCAGTGGCCCTGGATGGTGCTCACCTGCACTGCAAAGAGGGCAGCTACTGGCTTGTGGTCGCTGACAGTGTACTCCATGTGGCTGCAGTAGCAGAGCTGGCTCACCGACAGGACACCCTGGCTGGGCCGGCGCCCACCCACACCAAGCCCAACACTGGGAGTTTTGATCTTCCAGAGGATGCGGTCAGTCCAGGCAGGTTTCCGCTTCTTGGCACTGCAGGGCACAGAGGGGCATCTCTTGCCTGGCAGGGGGCAGTGGGCTCCACCCCAAACTGCCTCCCCTGGCACTACGGCACACGCCGGCAGGGGTTGCAGCTCGCCTCGGCACACAGCTCAGTGCAGCTGCAGGGACAGACCTGTGCTGGCACCAGCATGACAGTTACATCCTAGCCTGCCATCCCCGGTCCAGCCCACACCCGCCCCAGCATGGCTCCCCCTGTCCATCCGCACCAGCATCAGCCCCTGCCCTGCTGGCACCAACCCTGGCTCTGAGCCCCGCCACTCCTGCATCCCTCAGCCATGCTCCCAGGCCCAGCCCATGCTCAAGCTCTGCTCTCCTACCTGCTGTCGTACTTGTTGGTGCCCACATCAAACTTGAAGGTGGGTGGGAAGTTCAGAGGTCCCTCCTGAAAGCCGCTAAGGACAGGCCAGGTGCTCTTGGCAATGTTCAGCTGTGGGAAAGAGAATGGGTTAGGGAGCACACCAGCCCCCATGGCCAGACCCCTCTGCAAGCCCCCAAGACCTCTCCGTCCCCAGCACGCAGTCAATCCCTGCCCCACACAGCTCCTGGGGTTTGTCCATGCCATAGGCTCAGCACCCCCAGCTCTTCCCAGAACACTGATAAAGGAAGCACATGCCCAGCTCCCATAAAGACCATCCTGGGACTGTGCTGCCCTGTCCCCACAGAGCCAGGGCCCTTTGTGCCCCATGGGCAACAAGGGGACAGGCCCTGTCCCACAGCTGTACAGGTGGTTTTGGCAAGAGCTGAAGGTCACTTGGGCCCAGCCAAGGCTTCGCAGCATGGCCACCCCTCTCACCTGGTCCTTCTCCCAGAGCTGGCTCAGGATGTTGCTGTCGATGGCGTACTTCACAAAGCGGATGTCGAGGCTCTCGATGCGGAAGTTGAGGTCCCCAAACCAGAACACAAGGCTGTGGGTGGGTGGGAGGGAAGGCAACAGGCTGGAAAGCCCAAGGCTACTAGAGCCAGGCAGTGGGCAGCCTCAGCCTGCAGCACAGGCGCTCTGGGGAGCACCAGTGCAGGTCAGCACTCAGCCGGCAGCATGGCCGGCTGCCAGCCCTGCCAGGCAGGACCTGCCATTCCTCAGGTAGGACCAAGCACCATTAACCAAGCTGGCCTGACTTCCCTGGGCAGAAATTGAGGGTGGAAATTTCCACTGTGAGGCACCTATCGGAGTCAGACCACACCGCCAAGACACAGGGGCAGAGCCAGGCCTTCCACCTCACCAGTCCCAAACCCCAAGAGCAGCAGTATGGCACAGGCTGCACCAGGCCTGGATGTGCCCCAGAGGAGACCAAGGACCCCTCTTAAGATCACCATGGTGGGTCCCCCACTGGGCCATGGGACAATTTCGCAGCTCTGAAGACAAGACCCCATCTCCAAGCTGTGCTGGGATTCAGGGGACAGACCCCAGATCCTGTCTGGAGGCAGTAAAGGACAGGGGCTGGCACTAGAGCCAAGTGGTGGGATACGCACTCATGGTCCAGGATGCCGCTGGCCGCACGCCCCTCAAACTGCTGCATGTGCAGTATGGTGGCAAAGTCCTCCTTGCGCTGCTCCGCCTTCTCCAGGTGTGCTGGCAGGTGGCAGTTCAGGAAGCAGACCATATGGCCGAAGATGGAGAGACGGATGCTCACCCCACCCTTGTTGCCCTGCACCAAGAGAATCCCATGACTCCTCGGGCAGCCAGCCCCTCGCCACCTCCCCCGGGGCCACACTCACCCAGTAGCCTCCCAGTCCTGTTCTCGTGCAGTCCGTCTGGATGTCCTGCAGGAAAGGGAGGTGGTAGTACTTGGCAAATACCAGTAGGATCACACCTTGCATCCGCACTGTGCTGACCTGGAATGGGAGCAGGGGCTGAAGCAGGACGGTAGTCACAGCAGAGCCCGTAGGGGCAGGGACAGCTTCCCCCACCTCCAGGCCACAGGGGCAGCACCTCCACCCTCTGCATGCCCCCCATCCTGCAGGCAACTAACACATGTTTAGCTCAGCAATCCATGCACACCCTCCTGCATACTGACAGCTGAGACAAGCCCAGCAACGCTAAGGGTCATGTGTGCTCTGGGGCGAGTGCTCTGGGGAGCTAAACCTGCCCTGGGACTCGCAGGCTGCTGCCAGCAGCACAGGCTTGTTCCCTCATTCACCTCCTCACCCTGGTGCAGTGCAGCAGGCAGCAAGAAGCATCCCCAAAGCACCACAGAGGAAGCCTAAGGCGCAGGAAAGGGAGCAGGATGGCACAAGCTGGACAGCACACTGTCAAGACACACCACTTGCCCTTGGGTCAGCCCCACACGCTGCCTGGATTGCTGCAGGCTGTCCCTCTAGCAGTCTGTCCCTCCAGGCCTCTCTCCCACAGCACCTCCTCCCTCCATCCCTGCCGTCCAGCTCTCCCTCCCTGTGGTCCACCTGCCTGGCAGGCAGAGGGAACACCAGCCCCAAAGCCCCTCTGGGACCTCCTTACCAGGACAAAGTGGAAGGGGCTCAGTACATCCATGAAGAGCTCACTCCACTGATCTGTGAAGAGGGCATCCTTCAGGCGCTTGTTTATCTTAGAGTTCACCTCTTGTAGCCTGGGAGGAAAGGGACGGGTCCCTCAGCCACACCAGGAAGGTGTCTGTGCCCCAGCTAGCGAGACCGCCTCAGGAGAGGTGCCAGAGTGCAGCGCTAGGGAGCGGGGCCAGGTTGGGAAGGGCAGTTCAAGGGAGGACCCTGGGTTTAGAGCACAAACCAGCCATACCCTTGCTCCAGCAAAGCCAGGCCACGTGCTAGCAGAAGGCACAAGCGGCCCTGAACCCACAAGGTCTTGGACATTTTTAAACCAGGAGCAGTTCAGCTGCATGGGGCAGCAGCCTAAAGCTCATCCTCTAGGTGGAAGAGGGGCTTACGGGACATTTCAGCTGCATTGGTCTCTACAGAGAAGCCAGGTCTCACCAGTATGGCAGCACAGGGTATCCAGATGCATCCAAGCCACCAAGCTCAGAGCAGCAGCAAACAGAAGGTTAATCGTGCTCCTCCCAGCTCAGCAATTAGTGAAGAGAGGGAAGGAGAACATCCGCAGAGAAGGGCAGCATCAGGAAGTCTTTTGCCCAAAAATATCAAGTGCTCGGGGCGCAAAGACACAGGTCAGAGGAAGGACGCAGCCAGGCAGAGGCACCCTGGAGGTGGGGAGCAGCACGACACCCTGCCCCATCTATCCAGGCTCGGGGCTACCTCCACAGCCCCAAACAGTCCCATCCCACCGGTCTGCAAGGCTGAGGGGACCAGGAGGCTGGCTCCAACACAGCATCATAGCTCCAGCAACCTCAGCCTTACACCACTCCTTCCATGGGGTGAGGAGTGCTGGGGACATCCCTGGGAGCCTCCAGGAGGCAGATCCAGCTCTTCCACCTTGTCCTCACAGGCAGAGGCTACTTCTCACTCAGGCAGCACAGCCCTAACCTTAGCAGGAACCCACACACGCCACAACAAACCTCAAGGGACCAGTTTTCCCTTGGACTCTGGCAGAGCCAGCCACACCAGTAAAGCCCTACCACACCGAGGCGGCGCTGCCTTGCCAGCAGTTAAATGTTGCCAGGGCACAGAGCCAATCCAGCTGTGAGAGAACAGCAGATTCGTGCCCTTGAGGCCTGCATACCATGGGCAAAAGCTGAGATGAGGCAAACGCTCCCAGAGGACTCTGGCAGGCACGTTAAATGCCTCTACAGACCTGACCCCAGGACTGCCAAGGCTCACAGCAAGAGCAGCACTCTTCGAGGCCCAGCTCTGCACAGCACAGCCAGCTACAGGCTCTTCCAGGGTTCAGGGCTACTCAGGATTCAGGAGTTTCAGTTCCCCTTGGCAATCCCATTTTACGAGGAGCCGATTCTCCATCACCTTATCTGATATTTTACTGCTTGCAATGCACACCCCTCCCTGCTCACCATGCTCCCAGGGAGGCTGTGGCTGCAGTTCTTCCATTCCCTGCCCCCCAGGGCTATGGGGATCCCCCAAAAAGGGACGTGGCGGGGCAGTGGCCCCGCAGCTCACCCTCTTACCCAATGGCAATCATGTCCGCATCGTTTGTCTCGCCCGTGTTGAGGTGCAGCAGGGATGTCACATCGTTCGGGGGCATGGCTGTGCCCACGTTCCAGGTGACCACTGTGATGCTTGGGAGGACAAAGGAAGAACAGGCTAATGCCGGGGCTCAGAGGTGCTCCTTGTCCCCCCTGTTCAGCCCCCAGCTCCACCAGGGAAGCTCTCTGCCTGCAACAGAAGTGGCTGCGGCTGAAGCTTAGCCAGGGGACATACCCCAGGTCCTTAACGCCCCTTTGAGGCAGACAGGTCCTCACCTCTAAATTCCCCCAGGGTCTGCACCTCGGATCACAGCCGTGCTGTAACCCAAGCCCCGGTGAAATTCTAGAAACCAGCACAAAGAGCCCTCGTTTTCATGGCCACCGTAGGACGCAGACAGGCTGGCACTGCAGGCAGCCTGTGAGACAGGGTGTCCCCAGAAATCCACTTCCCCACCCTTCCCCAGGAATCACGCATCCCTCGGGCTCCTGGGGAAAAGGACCCAAATCTTAGCCCCCAGCATCTGCCCCAGAGCATGGCCAGCCTCAAAGGCCAGGGCACCGCGTGTGACGGCAGCGGCGCCAGCCCCGCCGCAGGGTGCTTCACCGGG